GCATTTTTCATCAAAAACATAATTAATGTGCACAAATAAGGAATAGTTGTATTAACAGAGTTTTATGGGGCCCCCAGGAATTCGGGGCCCTAGGCAACTGCCTAATGGTAAATCTGCCCCTGACTGGAACTATACTTACTGGGTCACTTGTTGGTTTATACAGCTAATGAGGATAACAGTAAGATATTTAAAACCTTGACCTCAGTTTAGCCCCGCCCCCAACGCCAAAACAGCGCCAGCCTGTCGAGACATAATAACTGAAGAAACTCTGCAGTGACCCTGAAAGCAACCTCGCTGAAAAAGGAGAGAGGCAACAATAGAAGTTGTTACTCTTTCCGCAGCAATGTTTGCTTTTAGATGTTTTATTTTATAATGTCTAATCTTTTTAGTGGCACCTGTTCAGACCCAGATGGTTCCCTGAAGGAAGAAACTCAACCAATAATCATCTGAAAGAGACAATAGATGACAGGTAGAAAGGAGAACAGAGTGAAGAACATGAAAAACCTGTTTCTGCGGCTCAGAAACGCCGGCGCTGAATACAGGTGGTGAATAAAGGAGGAGGAGCGGCTGTTCACCAGCGGATAAATAAAGAACAGCCTTCAGGAAGTTGAAGCACATGACTACCATGAAGGACTAACTGCAAATAGCCATAAAACCTTCAGCAGCAGGTTTCAGAATCGTACCCAGCTGGATGTTTCGGACCCAGACACTCTGCTTGGTCTCCTTTAGGATCTTCTCAAAGTAAACTCCGGCAAAACCACTGGACACGCAGGCCATTAGCACGGCCATCACTCCCACCATCTGGGAGCCTGCAGTCAGCACCTTCTGCTCCCCCGCTGACTCGCTGGGCCACTGCAGAGGATCAACATGAACATTTTAGCTGAAGTGTTGTGACAGTTTAGGTCCCACTACCTATGGCTCTACCTTTCTTATACCTCCTCCAAAATACTGTTTCTACACTTTTGCTGCTATAGGCTTAGACTGCTGGAGGACATAGGGACCCCTTTTTCATCACTCTGCTTCATTCTATCTCTATTCTCTCACTCTGTATCTAAAAATCCTAGCTTCGCTTCAGTGCTGCATAATTTCCAGTGATGATTCTGCTTAGCAGTGTGATGAACCTCAACGTCTGTCTTTGTTTCCTGCGTCTGGAAGTCCTGATTAGACTATCGTTTGTCGTATCCACTTCCCAAATGCCGACGCTGTCAAGAAAATTCACTAAAGGCTGCGTCTTCTCTGCAAACAACGAAATATCACAACAATAGCAAAACATAACTTCCTGAATGTTACGGGCGCCACCACGTTGGTTGTTTACCTCTAGAGAGCAGTAGTACCGTAGATCGCCACTAGAAGGCGAGTAACCGCGTTAGTGTGGTGTGTAAATAGTCGTAAGGAACCGAGCTGGGCACGGTTAACTGATCCAAGCTCAGTCCAAACTCGGCACGGACCGGTTTTCAGAGGGTAGTGGAAATTAGGTCTAT